CCTTGTCGTTGGGCTCAGATGTACCTGAAACAAATCCACAAACAACAAGCTTGAAGCTTAGTGAGTTCCCAGAGCACACCCACACAAACACTTATAAAATAACATACTAGCTAAACAGCTAACCAAAACACATAAACCATGCATGCCAATCACATGAGGAAGCCCTGGAAACCCTCCAGGGTCTTACTCCGGGTGCCATGGTAACCCCCACATGGTCTTAGCCCAATGCCTTGGGAACCCCCCCGAGGTCTTTGACCTTGGAAGCCAGGGAAACCCTCCAAGGTCTTACACTTAAGTGCCTCAGGAACCCCCTGATGTCTTTCATGCAAACACAATCACATAACATATCGAATCACATGATGTCTAACACATGTATCATAAACATAATGGGCCGACCTTGGTGCCTTAGACCAATTGGTATGGTGAGGAGACTCACCTTTGTCTGCAGAATACGATAGCTTCTTTTTTAACCGTCCAAAACCTCCCAAGATGAATGATAATATTAATCAATGTTAGAACTTTGGTTAACCAAGGGAACCCAACTTCCCAACCCTTCCATAAGGCTTAATGTCCATCCTTTGCTAATGGTTCCAAAACCCAAATCCAAAAATCCTTAATGGGCTTCTTGGCCCAATAAAGACCCAACACTAATTCCATGGCCCACAACAATTATATGACTAATATTCCCAGATTAGACCAGGCCCAATAATCAAATGAGGCCCAACTAACCTAAGAGCCCAAAACAGGTTCGACCCATCTACATTGCGTACGCCCGGCGTACCATCTTGGTATGCGCCGCGTATTGGGACATGGGACTATGCCCCGCGTATATTGAGTTACGCCCAACGTATCCTCAGTTTAAGCACTTTCCCCATTAAGTGCTTAATACTCGAGTCCTTTACGTCCAAAAGCTAGATCTAAGTCTGTAAAGATATCCTAAGGAATAAAGTTGGCAACTTTATGTCTTTGCATGACTCAAACACCCCCAAATTCTCCATTAATACCTTTCCAAGGTCTTTAACTCATGCATGAGGCCAAAGCTCTCATCAAGCTTCCATTTTTATGGTCCTAAAGGACCAAAGGACCTCAGATATGTCTATCCCTTCTCCTGGAGTTGCTTAACTCACAAAGGAGGTACAAAATCATCCAAAAACGGACCAAACAAGAAACCCTAGCTAGATCTAGAGATTAAGATGGAAAGGTGCAAGCTTTATACGTCCATTACCTTTACAAGATGACTAAGATGCAGGATCTTG